AATATATATATATATATATATATATATAATTATTATATTTTTTTTATATATATATAATTTATTATTATCTGTTTTTTTATTCATATTATAATTACTATCTTACCATCTTTTTATCAAATTTATATGTTTTTTGAATTTTTTTTTTTATATAATCTTTTATATTTAAATTTATTTTTATGATATTTTTATAACTTATTTTATATTTTATTTGATTTTTTTTATTAATATATATTTTAAATGTTTATTTTTATATATTTTTTTTATTTTTTATTTGTTTTTGTATAATATTAAATATAATATTTTATTATATTTGATAAGCAAATTTAATATAAAAAAAATATATATATTTTTTTTTTTTCATAAATTAATTAAATCAAAAATTTATTTATAAATTTTTCTCTTAAATATATAATTCTTTTTTTTATTTAATATAAATTAAATTATAATTTAATTTTTTTTTTTAATAAATATTTATTTTATTTTTACATTTTTTTGTATGTTTAGCTTTTATATATTTAATATATATTAAAAGAAAAGAAAATTTTATCAATATTCACTAAACATTTTAAAAAAAAAAATCATAAAAGAAAAATAATAAAGTAATAATAATAAAAAAATTTTAAATAAATACTTGTAATAACAAAAAAAAATTTTCCTTCTAACAGAAATTAATAACCAAAAAATTATCGTATGTATAAATGTAATTTAAATAATAAAAATAAATTAATAAGTGACTGCTCCGATTAATATATATTTTTTAGTTATAATTCTTTTCGGAAAAATAGAATAATCTTTTAAAATATAGATTCTCAATTTCCTCATTATGAATTGTAAATATCATTAGCCTTATAGCTTTTAGAATTATGGAGCGTACTCGGTAACAAAATTATATACATATATTAAACTAATAACATAAAATAAATATCTACTGGCAAATAGCAAATAACTATTATTTGTAAAAGTACTGAATCGATAGGCAAACTAATAATAGTAAAATTAAAATAAAACCATATTAAATAATAATTTAAACTTGAAATTTTTTTTCTATAGTAAATCAAAATCCAAATGATGGTATTAGAAATTGTTTTCTTATTTTTGTTAATTTTATAATATTTAATCTTATATTATTTCCAAATAATTTACTTTAAATGATCTCAATATAAATATTTTTGAATAGACCTTTAGTTAATCTTAAAATACACTTTTTATTAATTTAGGACTAGAAAGAATATTCAGAAATTATAATATTTCGGTCGGATGAATCCAATTAAAGAGTTAATCTTTTCTCCCTTTATGCTTCATCTTAAGCTACTGTTTAATTATAAGATATCTTTATGAACCTAAATGTAATGAATCTTGGACTAAAAAAGAAATTTGCAAAATATATACAGAATTATTTTCCAATATTAAAATAAGAATTTTCTCCAAAATTTTACCATATACTTATATAGTATTTAAATTTTTTATAAATTATATCCCAATAGTGTTTATATTGGTTCATTTTAAGAGTTAAATAATTATATTTGCGATTCCCATATATACAATGCTCAAATAATAAATTATTTAATAGATATTCCTCATTTAGGCCCATGGACTTATTTTTAAAGAATTACTGGAATAATAGCCCAATAATTCAATGATAATAAAAATTTCATAGATTAAGAAAGGAATATATTACCTTTAATAAGTAATAATACATATAAATACAGTCCATATTACCTTTTTGATGCATAATATATTTGTATAAAAGACTCTTATTTTTAAGACTTATGATAATTTACCTATAAGCAATTAAATTAGAATTAATTTTAAGCTTTTTTTATTGATACTTAGGATTGTGAAGATTTTTTGATTTATATTGATTATTAAATTGTTCGAAAGACAATTAAATCGTATGATTGAAAAGTATTATAACATATATATCACAATGCTTCTAAAGAAATAATTACGATTTATAATTCACTGCTTATCACACTGGCTGGAAGTTATGTCAAAGTTTTCTTTGGAGATAAACTTGATTAGGTAAAGCCTAATAAGAATTAGGTATTAGAATTAGAGTTATTATTACTGTAAGTCTGCTTTATCAATCAAAATTTAGAAATTACATATAGGAATAATTTAATAATTAATATATATTTATAATTAATTTATTTATTTTATGTATTTATTTTACTTGAATAGTATATTATATTTTTTAAATTCTTATTTATTTATAATTTATATTATAAAATTAAAAAATATCAATTAATTAATATGTTTAATTAAAATAAAAAATAATTAATATTTATTTTTTTTAATAAAAGTAATATATATAAATATAAAATATTTGATATTATATATTTATTATTAATATTAAAATATAAAATAAATAATTATTAAAAAATATATGTATTACATATAAAAATAAACATTAAATAATTAATTTTAAAATTAAATATTATAATTTATTTTAAATATAAATTTATTTAATATTATTATATTTTTTATAAATATAATAATAATTTTTTTATTTTTATAAATTTAATAAATATATATATTTTTTAAGTTCTTAAAATTTTTTATTTAATATCTAATAATTTCTTAAATTTCATTAATTTTTTATTTTTTATTTTTTCCTTTTAATATTAAATTATTTAATAATTATAAAAAATTAATATATAAAAATAATGATACAATTTTCTAATATTTTCAAAAAAATACTTATAAAATAAAAATAATTTTTAAAATCTATTAAAATATATTTTATTTTATAAATTTAAAAAAGAAAATAGATAAATTAATATAATTAAGAATAATATTTATAAATATATATAAATAATTAAAATTATAAAATATGTTTTTATTATTAATATTTTTAAATATATATAATACCTTTATATTTTTAATATTATTAACTTTTTTATATTAATTAATTAAAAAAAAAGATTTGCGTTAAAATTATATTAATAATAAATAATTTCTTTTAAAAATAAATATATATAATATAAATTTAAATTATTTAAAAAGAAAACTTATATAGAAATAAAAACAAATAAATAAATAAATATTTAAAATAAAAAATCTATATACATATCTCAAAATAAATATTTGAAATCTTTTTATGAAAATGTTAAAAAAATATATTATTTGCATAAAAATTATTAATTATAAAATTTGTATCTTTATTTATATTATAATTTAAAATAAATATTTTTTTTATAGAAATAATATAATAATTATATTTTTTTCTAATTAAATAATATAACAATTTTTTTTAAAACGCAATTAAAAATATATTATAATATCTAAGCGTTTTTAAAAACAAACATAAAATCATAAAAATAAACATTTTAAAAGCTGAAAATAAAGATATAAAATCAAATAAAAAAATAAAAAAATTATTATATAAATAAAAAAATAAAAATGTAAAAATCCCTTTTAATAATAGTTTCATTAAGTCTTTTACTAGCAGTTATAACTGCAGAATAAAAATTAGTAACTAAAGAATTTGGTGCTGACAAATTTTCTTAATCTGATGTTTAAGGATGGACAGTATAAGGGCAAAAAAATCTTGTAAGTGAATGTGCCGGACAATCCGTATTCGGTGGTTATGACGCCTTCGGTTAAGGAGCAGTTGCCTCTAAAGTTTATAGCTCAGGAGTTCCTCACTATGAATTAGAAATATCTTTCGAATTATTCGCTATAGACTCATGGGATGATGAAGTATTTACCTTAAAGCTTGATGATAAGGTTGTATACACTTATTCTACATAATACAATAAAGTCCCTCCTTAAGGAGATAGAAAAATAAGTTGCGGAAGTACTTCATGGAGTGATAAATTTGTAGTCGTGAAAATGAATATACAACATAATTCTTAATAATTCAAGCTTGAAATGTCTTCTACATTAAATTAAGATGCTAATGACGAAAGTTGGGGTATTAGAAATTTAATTATAGTCGCCAATTTTGTAGGATATAACTCTTATACAATTTCTAGAGAATTCACATCCGATAATTTCTAAGAAAACGCTTAAGGATGGGTTTTAAGTTAACCTTTAATTAACCCTTTTACTACTTGCGGAGCTGACAAAATTTTCGGTGGTTACAATGCTTTTGGAGAAAAATTTGTTATTTCGAAAACTTTCAGTTATATTCCTGAACATTACGGACTTGTTGTTGATGTTACTTTATGGTTTATAGACTCTCCTGATGCCAATGATTACCTTTATGTTACAGTTGATGGTTAAAGATATAGATTTAACAGAGGATAATTCAACTTTGTTGAAAACAAAAAATGCGGAACTGAATAATGGGGTGAATCCACTTAAAGAGTTAATCTTTTCTTCCCTCATACTTCTTCCTAAGCCACTGTTTAATTCACTGATGATTTCGATGAGAAAAAAGATAATGAATCTTGGGGTATTTAAAACTTCGTGTTAACCGCTCTTACAGGAAACAGAGATAACTAAACACTTGTCGTAAATGAATTGTTTGAAAACGATTTCAAACAAGCCTCTGGCTGGAAATTATACCCAAACGGCTAAGACGTATCTACTAGAATCTCAAACTGTGCAGGAGCTAATCTCCTTGGAGGATACAACTAACTATCTAGAGAAGATATCTTTAAAATATTTACAGGATTACCTGGACATACTAACGTTAGAATATTTTTCAGACTTTTCGCTGTTGATTCTTGGGATAACGAAAACTTTAGAGTTTATGTAAATGATGTCCTAGTTTAACCTAAAATAGCTCCCTTTTAATAATCAAACAAAGTTTGTGGAGTAAATGGATGGGATGATAGTATAAGAAACTACTTGGTAGATGTTCCTCATTTAGGGTCTACTCTTAATTTAAGATTCGAATCTGATCTTGATTAGAGTGCTGATGATGAAAGTTATGGTATTAGAGATCTTAAAATATGGACTTATTATGGAAGAATTACTGGAATAGTTACCTAAGAATTAAATGATGATAGTAATTTCTTAGTTTAAGGATGGAACGTTACTCCTGCATTAAGTACTGTTACATCAAAATGTGGTCCTTATGCACTATTAGGTGGTTACAATGTTTTCGGATAAAATACTGTTGCTTCTAAAACATACTCTGTTTTAACTAAACATAACACTATTAAAATTAGTTTCAAACTCTTCTTTATTGATACTTGGGATAAAGAAGATTTTATCGTCTGGGTTGATGACTAAGTCGTAGGAAAAGTCACTAAATCAGAAACTTGGGGAGGATAATAAAATATATGTGGCTGGGATGCTTCTAAAGAAGAAATTTACGATTTATAATTCACTGTTTATCATACTGGAAATTCTGTTAAAGTTTCCTTTGGTGATAAACTTGATTAAGGAAAAACAGATGAATCTTGGGGTATTAGAGATTTAGTTATTACTACTTCTCAATCTGGTGATAAATCTTATGAAAATTAAGAAAAATGTGTCGTTATATTCTCTGAATAAAATTTCAAAGGTAACAAACTCACTGTATGCGAAAGTGATCCTAATATAACAAACTGGAATTAACCAATCTAATCAATATGGATCCCTTAATAAAATAGTCTTGTTTAAAGTAAAGTTCAAAAATTCAAAAAATCTTCTAAGAAATAAGTTTAATAAGTCATTTAATGATTTTATTAAATTATTATAAACAAGAAAAAATATTTAATATTTTTAATCTTTTATATTTTATATTTTTTTAATTAAATTTTTAAAATTTTTATATAAATAAGAAGAATTATATATTCATAATATAAATCTTTTAAAATATATATAAATAATAGAGTTTAGTATTTTAGAATTATGATAATACTAAACTAATTAACAAATTAGTAATAATTTTTTTCATTATTATTTATTAATAAAAATAAAATTAATATAAATATAATTACAAAATTAAATTTTTATTTATTTAATATTATTATTATTTATAAATGTAATTATTTTTAATATTATATATTTTCTAAAATTAATAAATACTAATAACATTATATTATTTTTAAAAAAAAAAATCATTTTTTATTTTTCTTTTATTTTTTAATTTTTTTTGATTTTTTTGATTTTTTTTTTGATTTTTTTTCTTTCGTTTTTTTTTTATCTTTTTATTTATCTTTTTTCTTTTCTTTTTCATTTTTTTTAGCATCTCTCAATTTTTCCAAAATGCTTTTTTGTAATTCTTAAAAATTTTCTTATTCTTTTTCTTCCTAAAATAAATTATTATTTTATATATATAAGCAAATACTTTATATTTTAAAATTTAAAAGCTTTTAGATAATATATTCATGCATTAATAAGTTAAATGTCCAACTAAAAAAATTTATTTAAAATAAATTAATATAAATAATAAATACTATGTCCACATTTTTTGCATGCTCCTGGTTTCACTGTAACCTATTAAGAGATAGCAAGATTAAATATACTTTTGGCTTTTTCATCTGCTTACGAAAATTAATTTTGATTTTAATCTTATTATATTTCATCTTTTTAATTTTAAATTGAATTCCATATGGAGTGTGATACTCCTGCTCCTGATGTACCTGTTCTTCAATAAGAAATTTATTAAAAAAACAAATATCAAATAGAAATTTACTAATTCTTACTTTTCCCATGTTTTTTTTTTTTTTTATTAATAGTTAATTTTTTATAATGTTTCTATTAAAAAAAAAAAGAAATTCTTTAAATGTTTTAAAAAAATTATTTTTTTTTTCTTTTTTTTTTTAAACAAAAAAATAATAATAATAATAAATAAATATATATTATTTTTAAAAAAATCTCTAAAATTCTATAAAAATAATAAAAAATTCATCAAAATTCAAAAATAAAATATTATATTAATTCACATAATACTTATAAATTTTCCTAAAAATAAAATTCATAAAATAAAAATTAAAATTAAATACTTCTAATAGAGAATGTCCACCATTAATATATTTAGTAACTCTTTTAATATTTTTATCAGATTTTTTACTTAAACTTTAAAATTCATTATTCCGGTCTTTATAATACAAAGATAAAGCATCACTTTAGTTAATATTAACAACACAATTTTTTAAAGTGTGGACAATAAAACAAGATATAGGTATGTTTTGAAATCTATCTTTCATAAATTAAGAACCTAAGCATCCTTAAATAATAGAAACTCTACCTTCATTAAGAATTGGATTTATTTGCATTTTAAATTTAAGCTATTATTCAGTAAGTGGCTATGAATTTACTATTACAGAAAAATAATTATAAGATAAATCATTCATTCCTGGAGGACAATTTTCGAATATTTCTTAAGATTTGTTTAAAGTATCTTTAAGTAAATCATCTAATTCTATAAAAGAATTAAATAAACATAAATTTTAAATATTATTTAGATTTCCACATGCTTATATTACTTTTTATATATTTTGTATTTAAAATCAAAATACATATAAATATATAATTATAAATATGTATATATATTGTACAAAAAGTTTATAAAATATATCCTCCATATCCAACTCCAATGAATTTTAAAGAATCTTTTTTAATGCTTATTTTGTTTTCATTATCTAATTTAAATAATAGGCTATCAATAATTTCTATTAAACTAGAATTCGTATAAATATATTCTTAATTAAATACTGTATAAGCTTATCCTATAATGTATTAAAAATTATATATATATATATATATATAAATATATATATATATATATATATATATATATAAATATATATATAAATATATATACCTGGTATATTAAATAATAAAATTTTCTTATTTTAACTTTTGTTTAATATAAATTCAAATATTTTCTTATATTCAAAAAAACTATCAAAAAAATCTTATTAAAATATAATAATTTCATTATTTTTATCTTTATTTTTTTCTTTTTCTTCTAACAAACAATAAGGAATAGCAGTATTATTATCAATTACAAAATATTAAACATCACTGCAATCAATAATAGGAGATTAATAATTCATTAATTCACAAACTTTTTATATATTAAGACTTTCTGTATGTTAAACATCCAATTCATCAAAAAAAGGTTATATAGGAGATGACAATTTGAATTTAGGAAGTTTTCTTAAATGTTAAAAATTCGTATGGCTATAATAAAGACTTTAATTTTATATAAGAACTGGATTTTTATTGTTATTTAAATCAGTAGTGAGTTATAATTTAAGTATTTTTCTCATCTAACTATCACTATTGATTTTTTTTTATAAATTTTTTTTTTCTTCAGTTATTTTAGCAAGTAAATATTAATCAGCATTGACATCTTTTCTTTTATATTACCTACCAGGCTTTTCTAATAATTAATTAATCTATTTTTTTATTTTTATTTATTATATAAATTAATATTTAAATACTGAATTTTTTCTTAATTATTTCATTTAAAAATTTGAATTTTATTAAAGATTTTAATTTAAAGGTTCATTATATAAATATTTAAGTTTATCATAATTTAAAAATCCTTTTTATAAAAATTAAATTTTTAAATGTATATATACAAATATATATATTATTTATTTATTTATTTATTTATTTATTTATTTATTTATCTATTAACATATTTATCTTCCATATATATATCATTATAATATATTTACCTAATGTTAATCTATTTACTTCTATATATTTTTTTGTATTTGAAAGTATTCTATTACTTTTATAATTAGTTTTTGACTCTGCTGTAATAATACTAGAATCAATAATCACATCTTATTCTAAATTTTAAATATTTTTTTTTATTATTGAAGTTTATGGTCTAGTCATTTTGCAAAATTTTGATTAAAATTAAAAACTGTTTTAGTACTAACTTTAGGGCATTAATTAAGTATTTTCAAGCTACGAACTTTATATAGATTAAGAACAATCATTAAGTTTTTATTATGAAGAATAATTTTTGGAAAACTTTAATTAAAAAGAATTTTATTCTTCAAAAGTTTTAGCAGCCAAAGAATATATTATAAAGCATGATTTGCAAATTTTTACATTCTTATATATTTATATATAAATATAAATAAATAAATATATATATTTATAATTATAAAACCTTATATAAATTTTCTAAATTTAAAGCTTCTGATGATTTATTTAAAAATGGATATAATTTAATTAATAATTCCTAATTTAAATTTTCTTCGTTAATTTAATGTTCATTTTCTCTATTACCTTTTCTAAAAATTTTATTTTTTCTTAACAAATTAATTACAGTTTAGGCATTTTTTCTCGTTTTTAAAACTAATTAATTCGATATTTCATGCGGAAGGCAAACTGCTAGATTTTCCAATTACTCCTTTTTAACACTAAAATGTTTTTTGTACTCTTCTAAAATATTCTTTCTCATAGCCAAAGGTCCTGTATTTTTCTCCAACATTTCATAATCGCAAAAATCACCTCCACATTTTTCAACTCGAAGTTTACTATAAAGGGTTGAAGAATAAGTCTTATAATCTTAATGAATATTCCTTGGAAGCTTCATTTCAGTTCCACATATTTTATATTAATTTTTTTTTGCCATTTTTGATAATTTATAAAATTCATTAAATGTTAATTCTTTTATTTCATATATATTTTCTATATCATATGGAGCTTTATTTATATTAATTTATATATTAATTTTTTTAAAAAAAAATACCATAATTATATAAATCTATATATAAATGTTTTATTCCCATAAATATTATACTATTGCTTTTATCTAACATAAATTTTGGTGAAAATTTTCTAATTTTTAATTTATAAGCTTTTTCAATAAACTCAGTTATTTTTATAGTCAACTTTTTATTTAAATATATTATATATATATATATAAAAAAATACATCTTATAATTTTTAATTCAATGCTAAATCAAAAGATTTAAAAAAAATCCTTTTGCCTCTTATAAATCCTTCTTTTTTACTTCTTTATTTTCATCAATAAATACCTAATCATTTTAACTAACATATCCTTTTTTATTTGAAAACGTCTTTTTATAAAATTTAAATCCTAATGGCATAGTATTTTCATCATGTCTATATTCAACATAATATATATCATCTAAAAAAATTAAATTAAAATTAATCTATATAAGAATAAACAAAATAACCTGCTTTTGATATATTATATACATATGATTAAATCATAGATATACTACTAGATTATTTCCCTTCCTTGAAAAGTTAAATAAGCTAAAATCCATTTAATGTACTTTATTTTTTATCAATATATCTAACAAATACTAATGAAGTATTCTTCTTTTTTTATGTTTTTAACATTTAATTAATATAAATAAAAAATGCATTTAAAAAGTAATTTTTTTTTTAATCAAAAAATTAAAAACCTACTTAGTATTTCTTATATATTCCGCTAAAGTAGATAAATTATCAATCCTTAAATCATCAACATGGTTTATCCCTAAAAAAAATTTAGCGATTTCAAATTAGTTAACCTTATCAGAATTTTTACTTAAAATATTTGTACATTTAGGTTTTTTTGAATTAAAAAACCACATAGAAGGATTACCTGTTTTTTTAGTTTTTTTTATTTTTTATTTTTTTAGTTTATTATTATTTATAATTACTTGATTCATATATTATTGTATTTGGTATTATTTCGTTAGACTTATGATTTTTCTTTTTGAATATTTCATAAAAATAAGTGGGTGATTTTAATTGAATATATTTTTCATCTCTTTTGTCTATTAATGGATCTTTATTTTCATATATTTATGTCATTTTATTTATTTTTAAATATATTTTTTATTAAGTAATTAATAGTTTTATTTTTTATTTTATTCTTTTTTTTTTTAAAAAAAAAAATTATTTATTTAAAATAATTATCATAAAAAAAAAAAATAAATAATTTTAAATAAAAAATAAAGGATTTAAAATAAAAAAAATTATAATCCATATTTATAGTTTCATATATTTTCATCAATTTATTATTAGTGTTCTATTTATATGTATATGCAATAAATTATTAATTAAAAAAATTACATTTAACTTTAAAAATACTAATACCTAATACAGTACAAAATTATATTGCCAAATTATATATAAGATGTGAATAAGCTACATTAAATTAAAAAGTCAAAATATATATAAATATAAATATAATATATATATATATATATATAAATTTTACTTAATAAAGTTAAAATAAAAGAAATCTAAATAACAATGTCTTCATTAACTAAAGCTTATCCATTAATATACCCAAAAAAAGTATTTGAAAAAATTGCAAATAAAATAAGGAAATTAGATTTTCTAAATTATTGAAATTCTACATTTGCAACATGGCTCATTTAAAGAATAGACTTTTTTTAAAAAAATAAAATAATATATTATTTATATACATATATATAAATGTATTCTTTACAACTAATTTACAAAAACTTAATCCATAAATATAAATAAGTAATAGACATTATCTTTCATAAACTTAAGAAGGACTAAAAAAGAATACAAAGAAAATAGTTAAATTAATAAAAAAATAAAAATTCATATTATATAGTGCTTTTCCCAAAGTATATATACCTTCTTTCTAAAAAATTCTAATAGCTCTAATATATATATTTATATATATATATATAATTTTTAGAATTTTTAGTAGTTTTTTTATAAAACTCAATCAAAAAAAAAAAGCCACAATTCATTTATTCTCGCCTTTTTTTATATCGATGAGTTATTTTTTTTTTAAAAAAAAAACGCTTTTATTTTATTAACATTTAAAAAAAAAAAAATTACAAGAAAAAAATAATACTGTTAAAAAGTAATAAAACTTTAAACCTATTTTTTTTTTTTTTTTTCTGTAATTCTTTTAATAAAATATAATCGACAAAAAATAAACTCAAGAAAATATTGATTATGTATTTTTTATATTTGATTTATATTTTATAAAATAAAATAAAAAACATTACTAATAAAGTAATATTTATATATATAATATAAATATAATATTTAATAAAGAAAAATAATTACATTCCAATAAAATTAAATAATCCAGCCAAACCAAAAAGAATTAACAAAATACATCTATATTCTAAATCAAAAATTTATTAATCCCACCAACTACTATCTACTAAAGCAGAAAAAAAAAAAATTAAACTAATTCCAAAGCATCCTTCAGCAGCTCCATTAATTATTGGAAGATACATAATATGTGTATAATACTTAAAAAATATATATATATAATTTAAATAATAATATTAAAAAAATACTTCTTCTAAAGTAGTGCTAAAAAATGTAAATGAACCCAATACTGCAATCAAAAGACTAATATAATTACTTCCATATTATAATGCAGTTGCTAAAGAAATTCCTTAAAGAATTACTATTATGCTATCAACGCCATGATCAAAAAGTAATCCTAAAGGACTTGAATTTCCTATATTTTATAAAAAATAAAATATTTTTTTTAAAAATAAATAAAATAAAAGCCTGTTTTTCTAGCTTATTTTCCATCTATATTATCAAAATTCTTTATTTTTTATTTTTAAAAAAATTATTTATTATTACTTTTTTTCTTGAAAAAAAAAAAAAAAAAAAAAAAAATTAAATTTACCATATATAATAAATGCATAACACCAATAAAAACTAAAAGAAAGGATTTATTTCTGCTTCTAATTATGTGGAATAGAATACCATAATTAAAATATGAGGAATAAGTACACAGAATAATCCAAACAGTGTTATCTTAAAATAATTTATTTATATATTAGACAAAAAAATATAAAATAAATATATACCACATTAGGCCTTTAAAGATATTATTTTATAAAATTTCAATAAATATATACAATAAATATTATTTTTTACGCTAATGCCTCAGGTGTATAACTTTTTTTATATATAAATATCATAATAATAAGTATAAATATTTGTCTAAAAATTTTAATATTTTACTTTAAACAAAAATTTGCTATTGGACTCATTATAAATTTATATAGAATCGAATGATCGATTCCTTGATATTTATAATTATTTATATTTTGTTCATCTTCAGGACGTAAATAATTATATTTTAATACAGTCATATTTTATTTTTTTTGATATTCTTAAAGCTATTTTTTATTTAAAATTTAATATATAACATAATTTTAGAAAATAAACTCAATTTAATTAAATAATAAATTTAAAAATTAGGTATATAAGTTTTGTTATATATTTTTATCAAATTTTGTTCTTATACTAGACATAAAAAAAATATTTATTATAAAAGATATGATTATTTAATTTTCTTACTATTAAATTTTTATTATATTTATAATTATTGAATTATTGTATAACAATTTTTTAGTTATAATTAATAAATAATCTTTTATTTGAAAATAAATAAATTATTTTAAAAATATTTTATATATGTATTTATATAAAAAAAAAAATCTAATATATATTAAAAAATAGAATTAACTTATAAATATTTTAATTTTTGATAATGTAAATATAATTATAACCTTAATATATAATTATAATTTATAAAATAAATAAATATTATAAAAAATAATTTAAAAAATTAACTAAAGATAATAATAAATATTATTAAAAAAATATAATATATGTTTATTATATTTAATTGAATATAAAAATTTAATAATAAACACTTAAAACAAATAATTATAATTATCAATTTTAAAACCCAAAAATTTTATATAATTTATATTTGCATAAAATAAAAAAAAACTATAAATTTATAAAGATTTTATTTTATTAAAATAAACTTAAAATAAAATATAAATAGATACAAAAATATAATATTTTTATTATAAATCATAATATATAATAAAATATTCTTATAAAAATTAGTAAATAGAAAATAATAAAATTTAAATTAGTCCAAATTACTACCCTTTTAACTTTCTAGTAACTTTTACACAATAAAATGAAATTAAAAAAAATTAACTTGACAAATATTTTTACAAAATACTAATAAAATCTGACTTAATTTTGATTAGTTTAATATTTTAAATATTTTATTATTTCTTTGAGTATATTAAAAATTGATTGAATAAATATATTTGCTATTAAGAAAAACACATTATAATTTTAAACATAAAATACAGGTAAATGTAATTTTTAAACTTATAAAATGCCTATTAGGCTTTTAAAAATTATCTATTTTAAAACATAACTACATAAATCAATAAAAAGCATTTAAAAGAAAAGATATAAAATATATTTTTTAATTTTTCCATTTTCTATATTTTTTTTAGAATTTACAAATTTCTAATATATACAAACAAAAATCAAAGGAAATACCTAAAGCAATTTTCATAATAATAAATGAATAAATTATATGATTATCTTGAATTTTAAAGGCGAAGAGTAAGTTAATTTAGACAAAAAATAATTTTATTTTAACTATTCGGAAAGTAAAATATACTTCGAAACAAACCAAACTGACAATGAAGATATAAAAAAATTAATAAAGTATTGATAAATGCTAGAATAGATAGATATAAAATCATAATTAAAAACAATAAGTAAAAATAAAGATATTATTATATACTAAAACTATCAAAAAAATAAATGATTTTTTTTATATCTATATATAATAATTTCTTATTTTTTTGAGAATATAAAGAAAAAACCTATATTATAAAGTATTTTCCATTATTAATAATAGGAGTATTTCAACCATATGGTATATAATCTCTTTATTAATTAATTTTTAGTTTAAAAATTTGAAATTCGATTTAACTTTTTCATGAAATTAATGTATTAATAAAATTCAAATACGAAATTGAAAACAAGAATATTATCTTTACTAAATAATTATATTTTTAACTATATAATTTAATTAATGATAAACTAGATGCTTAACTCTAAAGTGTAGAGACTTGGTATGATTGTAAAAGGAAAATTATATACTTAATATATGATTATATAAATAGTTTTAATTACTCATATTTATTTATGTTTATGTATTAGTTATTTCTTATAGTGTTAAAGTTTCTGCTTATGATAAATTTTTATTTTGTATTATTGAATATTCATTATATAATTAGTCTACTTTACTTATTCATTCTATGTTTTTATTTTGTATTTATTTATTTGATTCTTATTATTAAAATAAATATAAAATAATCAAGAATATAAAGAGGCTTTTAATTTTAATTAATGAATACTAAAAAGGGATTTTATGTGTAATTAATTAAATAATATAATTTTTTATAATATAAATGTAAAATAAAAAAATAATAAGTTACAAAAATACTCATTAATAAAGTTTAATTAAATGCAGATATTATTTATAATTAAAAAAGAAATCGAATAATAAAATATAATTATTTAATCTTAATATTAATTATAGTTATAAATGTTTTTAAATAAAATATAAAGTATATTAAAAATAATAAATTTTAAAGAAAATAAAATAAAAATTAATCTTATATTTTCAAGAGAATTAAATATATTAGAACTTAAAATCCTCTTATTATTGAAATATCTAAAAGTTAATTTAAATAGTATATTTTAATAAATTAAATAATATAATTTTTTAATTATATTTAAATAAATATTAAAGAAAATAATTCGAATATATAATATTTAGTTTATTTAATAATAATAAATATTTAAAATATAATAAACTAATTAATAATTTTTAAATAAATTATACTTTTTTTTATTTTTATTTTTAATTTTAATTCGTTTATTTTTTTCTCTATAATTTTTTTTTTTTTTTTTTTTTTTTTTTTAAATTACAAAATAATAAAATGCATATTTATAAAAAGAAACATAAATAATTTTTTTTTTTCAATGTAATTAAATATTTTTTTAAAAAACTATATATAAAGTTTATTAATATTAAAAAAAGCTAACATATATAATTAAAAAAAATAAATTTTATTTTAATATAAGAATAATATTATTAAGAAACAAAAAAAAAAATATGTTAAGTAGAAAATAATATAACAAAAGCGAGATTCTATGTTCAAGATGTTCAAAAGAAGAATATTAAAGATTAATTACAGTAATAGTTATACAATATTTTATAGCAAAAATAATTCTATATATAATAAATATTTTAAAAAATAAATATATTTAAATTAATAAAAAACTATATAATAATAGATGGAAATTATAAAAGGAAGAGTAATTTCACATCTAAATGAAAATTGTTCAAATAAAATAAGAACTTCTTTATATTCTGTATAATATATATAAAATTAATATAATTTTTATTTCACTTATTTATTTATATAAATAATATAAAGGGTTTTTCTTTAATTCCAAAAACTTTATTTAAATCATTTTAAAAATCTGCTAATATATTCTTTTTAGTAATTTCTTTAATTATGTTAATTAGAAATGATTTATCTCCTTTTAAAAAGTAAAATTATTATAAAATATTTTAATAAATCTCATTTATTTAGTTGGATTGTGATATTTTCATTATTATTTTATATTTTAGTTAACATAATAAAAGAGTATATACTTGATTTATATCGAAAGAATGTAGATGATAAAATAAATAAATAAAAATGCGAAGTAATTATAATTATATTAATTTTTTATACAAAAAAAATAACAAAAATATTAAAATTTTTTAATATATTTTTATTAATAACAATGTATTTTTAAATTAAATTTATAAAGTTAATTAATTTTTTTATTTAAATTTTATTAAAATAATATTAATTTTATAAAAAAAAAACAAAAAAAAGAGAGGAGTAATTAAGAACTTAAATTAAATTGTAAACTTATATATTATTAATAATAATAAAATATTATAGTTTAAATATGAATTTTAACAAACATATATTTATAAAAATAGAAAAAATTAAAAGTTTAAAAAAAAAAACAAAATAGCCATAAATTAAACCATTAAATCTGGTCTAGCTTTAAAATAATCGAATTTTACACATTAATAAGTAAAACTAATAAAATTATGAAAATATTATAAAATAATAAAAGTAAATTTAGCCAATACTAAGAAACTAAGATAATAATAATGTTAATAATAAAGAAGCATTTGAATATACATAATCCGTTTATTGGTAAGATATAAGAATAGGTGATATATTAAAACTTTATCATGGCGAAACAGCCCCAGCAGATCTCATATTATTAGATTCAAATAAAATAAGAGATAAATAGGCTATATGTTTTCTAGATACTTATTAAGTAGATGGAAAAGAAGACTTTAGATTGATATATGCTAGTTCATCAACAAGAAGTTTTATTTTATTTTTCTAATTTAAAAAAAATAATATAAAAAATTATAGTTGCGAATCTCAAAGACAGTAAAAAATCATATTTTAATAAGTATAGGCAAATATTAAACCTAAAATTATCATATGAAATCCCTAATTCTGACTTATCATAATTTAACGGATAATTAAGGCTTAAAAAAGACCCAAAAATCGAATATCTTTCGACCGATAATTTCATACCAAGAGGATCTATTATATATTTATAAAAACCTAAAGATTGGTATATATATAAAATTATATATCAGTAAAAAATAATAGGGTTTTTGCTTTAGTGATACAAACAGGAATGAAAACCAAAATAATGGTTGAAAAGAATTTAAAAATATTAAAAAGCAGCTACCTTGAAGGTTAAATACAATAGTTTTTTCTAGCGAACATAAGTATAGTAATAATATTCGCAATAGTAAGTATAATTGTATTAATAGCCAAAAGTAAAGAACTTAATTTTTTATTAGACTAAGTAGACCCTAATATGGCTGATTCGGTACGTTTTTTAGCCTATATAGTGTTATATTCGTAAATGATTCCAGTTTCAATACACGGAATATTAGATATTGTAGCTTTAGGTAATAAATATCGACTTGAGAAACTCATGACTAATAAAAATAAGAAAAAAGACTATTTTAGAGTAGTAAATCCTTCTATATTAAGTAATTTAGGACAACTAGATTACATTTTTATGGACAAGATTTTTTAAAAAAACTAGAAGGAAATTTCTCGAATTACAGTTTAGAATGAGGATTTTCTTTTTGATATAGAAAAACTATATAAAGACTTAGAGTTTTTTAACAAATAATAGCAGTAAGAAAAAGTCTAAACTTTAAATATATTAAAAGAAGTAGAAGATTTATATAAAAATATTGATAAATAAGAACGAATTACAGAATCTTGTTAAAAAGAATTAGAAATACCTTCCGAACACAATATAATAGATACTAAAATAAACTATATAAATAGCATAAGAATATTCATAATTACCGAAAGCTAAAAAATCTTCAATAATAATTAAGTTATGGACACTTAATTATCTACTAAAAACGACTTTTATTCCAAAAATATTTCTTAATCTTCCCTTCCTTCTTAAGAAAAGTAATTAAAAAAGCCCGAAAATATCCTAAAACTCCAAAATATATAAAAAACAGCTTTTTAAAAATCAAGTGTTTTCAGTGAATATTCGCATCTCCAAAAAAGCTCTAATATTAATTTTTCTTAAAAAATATAGAAAATTTAAGAAAATATACAAAATAATTAAATAATATATAAAGAACATATCGTCCAGTTATTAATAAATATGCTAATATGTAACCATATAGAGCCTTCTAAATTGGATTATCTCGAAAATATAGAAAATACAACCCTTTAAACTGAAAAAGAGATATTAAATTTCGCTAATTTATGTGGTTTTAAGCTTTTTTAATTAAAAGGGAATATGTATATATAGGTTTATAGGAAAACAATCATCTAAATATATGAAAAAATGTTCAATTTTCCTCGAGGAGATAAAAAAACACTCTCGGTTGTCGTTTAAATAATTTTCGGAGAAAAAAAACTCCCAAAAATTCCAAATATATGCTTTTTTGTAAGGGAGAACCATCTCATATAAGGAATAAACTTTCCATAAATTTAAATGAAGCGACTATTTTCGATTAAATAATCACCAATTATACTAAAAAAGGTATCCAGCCAATAGTTTATGCATAAAAGGAACTAAATAATGAAAAAGCAATGAGATATATAGAAGTTTATAAAGGAATATAGACCAATCCTTAGGCATAGGAGGAAGAACTTAAATAACTAGGCATTGAATTCGAGACAGATTTAGAATATGTGGGCATTTGTGGGTTTTAGAATAAAATAAATAAAGAAATAAGACCACTTATAGATTTTGTATAGAATTCTAAAATGAATTTGTATGTACTTTCGAATGAGAGTCAAGAACAGGTTTTCAATAGTGCTATAAATGCTAAAATATCGGAAGGATTTGGAAAAAACGCAAATAAATCTTATCTTTTTATCAGTGAAAACAAGCATGATGAAGTGTGGAATTAAATCCGTTCAATTTTAAACGAATTAAAAGAGATTTTTTCCTAAAAAGAAAATCCCGAAAATAGTAATTTATAAGCAGAAAACAAAAATTCCTTAAAATAAATAAAATCTCTTGAAGAAATAAACAATGAAGAACAATACTTAAAAAATTTCAATTAAAAAAATATCAACAAAAAAGATTAAATCTACCAACTTCATTTAAACGGAAAATCCTTCGAAAAAATTATCCAAGATAAATCTCTATTACAGCACTTTACATTTATACTTTAATTCTGCAAAATAGTAATAGGTTATAATATTGACGCGAAAATAAAAGGATAACTAGTAAATATAGTTAAAAATAAAATGCTTTTTCATCCCATAGTTTGTGCCATAGGAGATGGTTACAAAGACTTCCAAATGATGAAAAACGCAGATATATCAATAGAAATAGTGCCCTAAAATCAAAATATTATATAAGTAAATGCTGGTGATATATAAATATCTAATTTAGGTTAAATAAAAGACCTTATTTTAATATAAGGAATGAGTGTATTTTTTAGAACTTAAAATGTGGTTTATTTTTTATTTTATTAAGCTCTACTTTTCGGAATGCCCTTGTTTTATTTTAATTGGTATTCCTCTTTTTTAGGAACTTCCTTTTTTGAATCCATATGGGTTTTTTTTTACAATTTTATCCTAAACACAACCACTTTGGTTACATATGGAGTTTTCGACAATCCGTTTAATAATACTGTACTTAAATTTTTCCCTTCCTTATACGTAGCCGGATAACTAGAAAAAGACAAAATACTTACCTCTTTTCTGCTAAAAAGTGTACTCGAGGGAATTCTTTAAGGCACAATAATATACTACGTATCTATATATATAGTTTCTCGTTCTTTAAGTTTAGAAGGCTATGTTTCTGACTTTGGAATGATATAAATAGTAGTATTATATAGTATTATTGTAGTCTTTAACTTCAAAATAGCCTTTTGGTGTTAAAGTCATAAAGTCTAGTGTATATGGATTAGTTAATTAATTTTTATAGCCATGGTTGTAGGTTATGTTTATATAAACTAAGAAGGCTATTTTGCAAGTTGGAATTGGGTAATTACTTCTGCTTAAATTTTCAATAGAGAAGATACTATTTTTTGCTTGGTTTTTAATATTTTATGCTGCCTAGTTTTGTCACATTTTGTTAATGTTTTTTTAGTTGAATTTCTATTGCCTAATACTTATTAATAATAAAGTATTTATATTAGTTAAAATAAAATAAGTTGGAAAAGTCTCACAAATGAACTTATTATTGAATAATGTTTAAAAAGAGAAATCGATTTAGGAAATTTAATTAAAAAAATCTTCAAAAAATCATCTATTATTGAATAATCAGTCCTTGACAGTAAAAAAAAATATAAATATATACTAATTATTAATATTTTTTTGAAAAAAAAAAAAATAACTCAATCAAAAAAAAAAAAGATATTTCCTATTTTTTCTTTCGTCTTTTTTTTTTTTTTTGATAGAGTTTAAAAAAAAAAATTACAAAAAAAATAAAAAAGTAATAAATATATATATATATATTTTTTTTTTTTATTAGTGGTAAGTGCATGTGAATCAGATGTTAGTGATATGTAATTAAATGTGTTTTCTCTTACTTTTAAAGACTAAAAATTAGAAAAGAAATATAAATATGAACGCATGCCTTCAAGTTCTTATAACTTTAGAATAATGTATACAATAGTAAAAAAATAATAATGATAAAAAAATATAAATTTTCTAAATAAATAAAAGGTAATTATAATACTTGGAATTTTCACGATAATAGATTCTATATTAGACTCGTAATTAGATTAAATAAAAGGTTTTATCCGTGCTAGTTTTGTGATATTTTATTTCATCCAAATATTAATAATATACCATTATAAATTTCAATAATACTATTACAAATTATGCTTTTGGCTCTTATTTACAGCCACATCATGTAAAATAATATTAGACTGGATAGGTTTATCAATTAATACATCAATGGTAACAATGATTGGTACATGTATATTGACATTTAATTTCAGTTTAAATATATGGGAAATATTATTATTAAATATAATAAATACATCAAGTTTTATTGCCAAAATAATATTTTTATATTATGACAAGAGATATAATAAAGTAAACAATATAATAGAAAGTGATTTAAATAAATTCTTTTTAATCGCTTCTTTTGTAATAATGTTATTTTACGTTTTTTTACTTTCCATATACGTCATCTTCAAAAACGAAAAAAAAAAAAGGAAATACTTCATAGCCTAACAAGACATTAAAAACACTCAAAGCATAAATGACGGAATATTATCAATTCTAGTCCCTGAATTCGTATAAAATAAGCTAAACTCAGGTAAATTTGAAATGGCAGACGACTAGGACGAAGTAGCTATTTTATTCGCCGACATTTGTTGCTTCGATGACATAGTAGAGGAAGAATAAAACAACATAGTTCCTTTGTTAGACGATATTTTCCGTATCTTCGACTTAATATGTGAAAAATACGGCGCGTAAAAGATCGAGACAGTGGGTAAGACCTACATGGCAGCCACTGGTATAAAAGAATGCGAAATAAATATCCCAGAAATCCTAAAACAACGTGGCAAAGGTGAAAGACTAGTCTCTATGGCCAAGGAAATCATGGAATAAATGCAGTACATAAAATGGGGTAAAAATTAAGAACCAATCCAATTAAAAATCGGTATAAATAAAGGAGAAGTAATGGCTGGAGTAATTGGGAACCCAAAACCTCAATTTTCCCTAATAGGAGATACAGTAAATACAACATCTAGAATCTGCGCTTAGTGTTCTTATGGAAAGATCCTTATTTCAGAAAAAATCAAAGAAGAAGTAAAAAGCATGAATCACTCATTTAAACCTATATCTTGGCAGCCTAAAGGGAAAGACATGATGACAGCATATTAAATAGGAGGACTTTAGACTGCTAAAAAGTTACAAGTAGCAGTTTACAGTCTGAATAAATTAAATATTGGAGATTAGGATAAAAAACACGTTAAAAAAGATAATATTATAAATGCTTTTATTTTAGGAAACGGAAGTAAAGTTAATGTCCCTTAAGGTACTTATTAATAAATAAAAGATGAATGTGAAGGACAAGATCATGTAAATTAGAAAAATCATATTCTATAATAGTAAGATGAATATGAGGATGATGATGATGATGATGAAGATTTAGATTTCGATATTATTGAAGAAAATCCCTAGTTTTAAGAAGGAGATATTAAAAATAATTTATTTTTAGAATTAAGTCAAAATGTAAGTGAATAAACTATTTATAAGTTTAAATCATAGTTAAAAAAAAATAATCTATAAGTAAATTAAATCATGATTTTATTATTAACTTTACTTTATTTTATAAGTACTATGTTTTTAATTACAGTAAGGCTTACCCTAGATTATTATTATATTATTTTTGTATTAAGAGGAATTTATTTCTTGTTTTTAATATTAGCTTATATAATATTACCCAAAGCTTTTCTAAATACAACTTATAAATACATTACATAGTTTATTCTTATTTATGGATGTTTTCCTTCACTTTTATAAGGCTATTTTTCAAAATATGATGATTTCCTTCTAATATAAATAATAGAGGCTTTAATTATTTATATGACTTCTTCTTATATTGTGTAAACAGATATAAATACATAAATATATATATATATATATATATATATATATATATATATTATTTTTTTATATATATTTTTTTTTTTAATATTTTTATTTATTATTAGAATTTTTAATTTTGTTGATATTCTTATCTATACTGTACTTATTAGTATATTGTTTATTGGACTTAATTATGAAGAATTAAGCATACCAAATTGTTTCTTTTTCTGGACTTTTTGTACTCTCATAATTTATAAAAACTATATATATTTAAAACAGACTTACAAAAATTACAATTTTACATAAAAGATAAACATGAAAAAAGACAAAATGTAAAGCCTTGTCAATTAATTATTACCAGCAATAGTAAAAAAATTAAAAAAAATAAAAATAAAAATATAAATAGGCCTTAAATAAATTAAGATCATAAGGAAATCTTACTGATAAAAAAGGTCTTACAGACGAATTTGAAGATGTCACAATTTTATTTGCAGATATTAAAGGATTTACTGAATTTTCAGATAAAGTAAAGGAACCTAAAATAGTTTTAAAAATGCTAAAGGATTTGTTTGAAGGATTTGACTAATTATGTGTTAAAAACAATGTCTTTAAATTATATACAATAGGAGATTGTTATGTGGTTTTGAGTTTTGTATCTGCGTAAAGACAAAATACACAAGAAGAAAAATGCTAAGAAGCTAAAAATGGTTTAATATTTTTACAAAAATTAAATAATAAATATATATATGTATATAATAATAGTTGTAAATTTAGGATTAGAAATGATAGAAACTATAAATCATATAAGAAAGGATTACAAATTTTTAAATATGAGAATAGGCATTCATACTGGTAAAAAGATTATTGGAGGCATTATTGGAACAAAAGTAGTAAGATATGATGTATATGGAAGAGATATCAGAATTGCAAATAAAATGGAATAAAGTGGTGAACCTGCAAAAGTTATGATTAGTAAAGACACAAAAGATTGGATAGAAAAAGAAAAAAATCATTCTTATATTATTACTAAAGCAAAAGAAGTTGATATTGTTAGCAAAAATAAACCGACTGAAACTATTAATACCTATTATATAAATAAAAAAGCTGAATTTTAATGAAAATAAAATAAAAAATACATATATATATATTATATAAAGCTATATATAAATGAGAAAAAATCAAGAATACATAAAAATATGTATATATATATATTAAAAATATAAATTGATCTATTTTTATTAATCTATATATTTTTTCAAAAATATCAGGCATCATGTGTACATTAAATACAATTGTAATTAATTATGCATTTTCTATGATAAAGTTAATTACATTTTTAACATAATCCTGTATTTTCAATATCACAAACGAATATAATTTCTTAATTATTAATATCATTTTCATCTTATTAATTATCATCAATTTTACAAATTTAGCATACGTTACCTCTTTTTCTACAATCCTATTTTATAAAGATAAATTAAATATATATATATTCATTAAATAGATTTTTTTTAAAACAAAATACATAACATTATTGCATATGTTAGAATAATAAATCATATTACTCTTGCAAAAATTTAGCCAAAGATCCGTTAGAAATATCATAAAGATTTTTTAAGCTAAACCAATTTACTTTTAAACACATATTTAGAAGATTTTATAATTAATCATCAACAAATTATGAATTACAAATAATATCATATAATATATGTATTTTTCTCTTTAAAATCTAAAAAGAATATTAAAAATAGAAATAAATAAAAATAAATAATATAAATATATATATATATATATATATATATATATATATAAATATATATATATATATATTATATTTATTGTACTAATTTTATTTTTTACCATAAAATCAAATACTAATTTATTATTTAAAACTAGCTTATCATTATATTCAAATTACAATATAGGTTTTTAATATAAAAAATTAATTTCATATATTGATTTTTTAGAAATCTTGTATCCTTTCAAATCAAAATTTTCCATAGCCTTCCACCAAATCGGCCTTTTTTCTAATGAAATGCATTCAGTACAATGCCAAAATCCAGTATAATAGCAAAATCTAGCATTATTCTAAAAATATTGATAGAATAATTATATTTATATAAATATAATTGTATAATATATATTTATATATATTATTAATTTATTTGATTTATTTTTAACTGAATTTTTTTGTTATTTTTTATAAATCTAATCTAAAAAAATAAAAAAAAAATTACAAAAAATTAATTTTTTTTATTTTTTTGTTAGATATATTGAGTTTTTTTGTTTATATATATATATAATATTATTAAATTTTACCTAAATAATATATAGTCCTTTAGAAATATTTTTTTAACATTCATAACATTTATATTATTAATCTTCGATCTATATTATTTAAAAAATAATAATAAATAAAATATTAATATAATTATAATATACTCTTCTTTCGTTTTCATTATATTTCGGTCTAAATTTATATTCAGAATTTTAAATTTCAAACTAAGTTTTAAAAAGAACTTCTGAATTTCTCATTTTATTCATTCCTTAATTTTACATTTGCGTATTTCTAAATAAAAATTATTAAGAATCCGAATTTCCCATTGTATTTTTATCGAATTTTAATTTATCATAAAGTGCATTTGATTATCTTTCTTTGTCTTTATGTGCATTAATCATATCACTTATTCTGTATTAGAAGCTACTTTTTCTTTCCAAAAGAGGATTTTCATCTGTTTACTTTATAATATATAAATATATTTTTTATAATTTATTTATTAAAAATACTTTTAAATCTTATTATTATTATTTTTTTATTAAAATGCTAGCATTTGAATTCACTCTTGATATATTGTTTTGTTAATTTTCAATTGAAAATCTATTATTATTACTATTATTTATAGCTTTGAGATTATCAATAGAAGCTTTACTTCCTTCATTTATATGTTTATATTCTTATTATTAATTAACCTTTTATTTTAGTTATTTTTATTACTCTATTAATTATTAGATTGTCAAATTGTAAGTTTATTATAAAAAAGTATCATAAGACTTACAAATATTGCCTTCGATTTTCAAATTAATATTCTATAAAGTAGCTGTTAATTACAAAATATTATAAAAGTTTTCTTTTAGGCAACTATTTTATAAATAAATTTCCAGTATATTTTTATTTGACATTGTTTCTAAAATATCTAATACTCCTTTTTATTATAATTCTAACATTATCCACACAAATAATTTCTAAGACGATTATTTTAAAAATTGCATTTTATTTATAATAAATTCTAATGGATATCTGGGCATTAAGTTTTCACAAAAATATAAAAATAAGTCTTTTTTTAAACTCTCGTCTTATATATTATGGGCTAATATTTATAATATTGACATTACAATTTATTTTAGTTCCTCTCCATCACCTTTTAATATAATTTAATCAGTTTCACTTGCTGCTATTTATAATTGAAATATTTAATCTTCATATTTTTAAACAATTTTATCTTATTTTTATTTTTTTATTTTATTTTTATTTTTACTATATATATTACCTGTCATTTTTTTTTTTTCTAGATTGTATATTTTTTATTTATTATATAATTTTTTTTTTTTTTTTTCTAAAAATAAAAAATTATCTATAAATTATTTTTTTCTTAATAATTAAATAATAATAATTATGTATAAAATAAAATTCAATAATTATAAATAATTAATTTCATAAAAATTTCAAAATTAATTTTTTTTTACATTAAGCATTCTTTAAAGTACACTAAATCGAAATTTTAATTATCATACTAATTAAAAAACCCTAAAAGTCTTAAATTTTACTCCATTAAATCAAAAATCAACTACTTTTATTTAATTTATAAAAATCCATCAAATTTATAACAAATAATCCTCAAAACTCCCACAAACTCACAATTTTTAAGCAAACTCTAATTCAATCCAAAAAAGCTAATCAAAAAATTTACACAACTTACAATTTCAAATTATTATTCAACTAAAATTTTATAAAAAAATTAAATTATTCCCATTAAACCTTAGAATATTCCTCATAAGGGTTAATATTTAAAGCCAAAAGAATTCTATTTTAAATTTAAGGTTTATTTTTATTAAGAAAATCTTAAAAATATAACTTAAAAAGTTTAAGAAGTACAAATTTTTGATTTTATTATGAATTATAATAATGCATTTATATATGAATTTGATCACTTTGTTCTTTCAAATTCGAATTTTGTTAAGTTTTCAATTTTAAAAAATCCAAAATATCATTAGATTGATTAGACAACTCGAAAAAAACTGATATTTTTTTCTTATTTTCCTTTTAAAAAAATGTTTTATTTCTCTATTAAATTTAATCCAAAATTTAATTAATATATATATTATTTTAATTAATTTCTTATATTTCATCATTTATTTATTATGTAAAGGAATTATTATTATTATCAGTTTAATTTTTTTCAATTTTTACTAATTTTTTTAAAGGTATTTTATATTTATAATTAATTGTCTGATATTCTTTTAAATTTATTTGACTATAAAATTTATCTGATTTTAATAAATTATTTATAGATTAATAATTTTCTATTATTTCTGTATTTATAATTTTTTTTTTCTTTTTTACTGATACTATATTAGATATTCTTTATTAATTTTTTATAGATGAAACATTTTTATAAGAAGGCATATCTAATTAAATTTCAAAAGGACTATTTTTAGGCAATATATTTAATAAAATATTAGTATTATTTTCTAATTCTCCTAAAAATTAATTATTATTTCTAAAAAGAGGAAGTTTTAATGTAAAATTATTTTAATTCATTTTTTTTTTAAGTTAAATATAATGTTTTATTGTAATAAAAAAAAAATATTATAAAAATGAAATATATTTAAATATAAACTTTATATTTAATATTTTAATAAATTTAATAATAAAAATTTTATAATAAATAAAATAAAAAAGTTAATAATAATTACTTTATATAAAAATAATATATAAAAAAAAATATGTTACATTTATACAATGATATAAATATTTTAATAAATATATTAAAAAGCATAAATATCTAAAAAATAGAAGAATAAAATAAAAATATTAAAGTATAATTATATTAAATAATTTATATAAAGAAAATTAAAAAAAAAAAATGTATAGGTAAAAAAAGATGTTAAATAAATAATATATATATATATATATATAAATATAAATATATATATTTAATATATATATATATATATTTACATATATATATATATAATCTTTTTGTTTCATCTATCATAATTTGTATATGGTTGATTATTAAATTCTTAATTTTTTACTTTTATTCTCTATTATTTTAAATTTTAATATAACAATATTTTTATAAAAAATACTTAATCTATTTAACTATATAATTCTTAATCTTTTTCATTTTTTAGTCTTCTTAATTCTTATTAAGCAATATCAAATTTTTCAGAATATTATTGAATTTAATTAAATAGATCTTTATTTTATTCTTATAAATATCTATTTTCTTCAATAATAGAACTTTTATTCTTTTTTTTAAAAAAAAAAAAATTAAAATTTTAATAAAATAATTTTTTTTTTCTTTTTTTTTAATATAAATATTAAATAAATTTACATTTTCTAATTATTTAACTTAGAATTCTAATTCACTACATTAAGCAATTATTTATTTATATTATTTATCATCTGTGACCGATTTTTATTTTAGCTATTTTTTTTATTATTAACATAAATTAACTAATATAAATTTACTTTTAAATCATTTATTTAATATTTTAATTCTCTATTTTCATTTTTTAAATCAACTAATTCTGCCGAATATTTTTCCAAAAGAGATTTATTTTCTTTTCCATCTGCAAATTTTCTCTATTATATATATATATATTTTTTATATATAAAAATATTCATTTTTATTAACAAAAAACTTTAAATTCTTATATATCCTAGTTTCTACGTTCTAATTCATTACTTAATTATTATATTTACCTTTCTTATTCATTTAATTTACTCTTTTAATTATCTATAATTTCATCTTTTTATTCTAAAACTTCTCTATGTTTTATTCTTAATCTTTAAATAAATAAAATAAATATTAAAATAAATCTAACAAAAAAAAAAGTATACTTTTCAATAATACTTTCACTTTAAGTAGCTTTATCATTTAATTCTAATCTATATTATTCTTGCAAATTGCTAAATTATCTTTCCACTTGATTTAATTTATATTCACTTTAATCAAGTTCAATTTTCATTTTATCATGTTATTCTCTAAATTATTTTTCTCTTAATAAAGAAGCTTCAGCTCTTTATTTTTCTTAATTAATTTATCCCTTTTTTATATTTTATATATATTTTATTTTATTATTGAAAAAAATACTTGACTTTCATTTACAAATTGAGCCAATTAATCAAGTTCGTATTTACTAGTTTCCATTTACTTTTTTTTTTTTTTTTTTTTTTCCCCCCCTTTTTAAAAAAAAAAATTATAAAAAATACTTTTCTTAAAGTCTATATTTCTTATTTTAAATCTTAGTTAAGTTTTTCTTTTTATTAAATTAAAAATTTGAGTTCTTTCTTTTCATTTAACAAAATATTATTTTCCTATAAAAATTAATCATTTTCATCACCTCTTCTTCTATTTAATTCTTCGTAATGTCTTTAAATTTTAAATATAGAAATTAAAATATATTTATATATAATATTATAATAAATATATATATAATTATATACTATTTATAATGATTATAATTGTTTTTTAATGTCATATTTTCATTTTTAAAGCTATTTATATTATTATTTAATTCTTCTATAGTATCTTCTAATTCTATATTCTTTTATTTTTATTAAATATTTAATTATAAAATAATAAAAATATATATACTTTTTCGGCTAATTATGCATATTTAGGTTCTAAATAAGTTAATTATTTAGATAAATTTTCTTCTCTTTTTAAAGCATCTTCTAAATCTTCTTTTGTTCTATTAATAACATCTCTTGCTTTATTAATTTCGTCTTCATGTCCATTAACAAAGCTATCATATTCTTCTCTAAATCTCTATATATATAATCATATTTTTATATAAATAAAATAAAAAAACCTTTGTTTCATCCAAATGCTTAATTAGAATATTGTTTTCTTCAGTTAATATATGAATATTATGTTTTAAATCATGAATTTCTTCGCCATCATTAAGACCGATAGTTTCAATCAATTTAGAAATATCTTTATTTTTTTAATTTATATGATCTCTAATTAACTATTTAATTTAAATATATTAAAAAAATAAAAAAATTAATAAAATATAATTAAATAATATAAAAAATATAAAAAAAATATTAAAATTAATATTAATATTAATATAAATATTAATAAAATATAAATATAAAAACATATACAAACATAAATATAAATATAAAAATAAAAATAATATAAATATATATTAATAATAAACAAAATTATATAAAATAAAATAAATTACTTTGTTTTCTTCTAATAAAAGTTCAACCATACTAATAAATCTTTTTAAATCACCAGACAAATGATTAACCTAATTTTTAATTAATATATATATATATATATATATATATATATATATATATATATATATATATATATATATATTTATTTTTACTTCTTCTTTTAATATTTTGTTTTCATCATCTAATGCTTTTAAAAGAGGATTTAATCTTTCTGGTTAAATTAAAAGTTCTTCCGAAGCATCTGTAGAAATATTATTTACAATAAGATCTTTTTAATATATAGAAAATCCTTTACCAGAAATAATATCATTAAATTATCTTGTTAATTTTTCATCTTTATTAATTTTTTTTATTGTATTAAAAAAATATTATAAAATAAAAATTTTTCAAAATATTTTATTTTTATACTATATTATCTATAAAACTCATTCTCATTTAAAAAATCAAGTTTTTTTTAATCATCTAAATTCTATATTATAGGATTATTAAAATGGCTCTTTACTTATTCTGTTAATTTATCATGAATATAAGGCTTATCTTATTTTGTATGTAAAACTGATTATCGTTCTTCTTATATTAAACTTAATTATTGCTTATAAAAATTTTAATCAAATCCTGTATGTGTATAACTATTTAACTTTATATTTTATTAATCTTAATATTTATAAATTATAATTTTATATTTTAATTACTTTATTTTTAGACGCTCCTTATGAAATATGTGAACTAAACATTTGCTTTTTTATAAATATATATTTTTATTTAAATTTTTAAATTTTTAAAAAGAAAAATATATATACAATTTTATTGTATAAATAAATAAAAATAAAAATATATATATTAATTTATATATATTTAATAATATATATATATAAATCAAATATAAAAAAAAATAATTGTATTTTAAAATATATATAAATATATTTTTCAATAAAAATAATAATAAATAAATATAAATATAATTAATTGTAAAATATTTTATAAATATAATTAGTAAATAAAAATTTATAAATATATAAAAAACATATTAATTCATGTAATTTTATAAATATTAATTTTAAAAAATAATTTTTTTTTGTATAATATATATTATTTTATTTTAAAAAGAAAATATAAATATATAAATATATATATATATTTATATATATTTATATATATTTTTTATTTTTATTATATTTGCTTATATAAACAATTATCTATTTATTTATCAAATTTTATATATATACATATTTTTTTTTTTTTTAATTATACTTTAATTTTTATAAATCCATTATAAATTCTATTATATATTTTGTATTGTTTTTATTTTTTTATTTTTTTATTTTAATTATAAATAAGAGTTACATTTTTTTTTTTTTTTTAAATACACATATTTATATTTTATTTAAAAAAATATTATAAAATATATTATTTTATATTTTATTACATGTATAATATCTTATAATATAATTATTTTATACAATTATCTTTTTGCAATTATTTTATTTATTGATTAATTTATTTTATGTATTAATTTTTTATTTATGTTTATTCAAAATTATAAATTATTATATAAATAATGCTTTTAAAAAAATAGTATATTTTTATTAATATTATTTTATTTATTATTTATATTTATAATAAATTACAATTAGTTATTTTTTTGAATTTCAAATTTTAATTTATTTATATTATTAATATTTTTAAATACTGAATACATTATATTTAAAGTTTTATAAAATCAAAAGTAATAACTTATTATAAAAAAATCCGTATACATGTATATTAATATATAAATTATATATTAAAAATATCATTTTTATTTATAATTTCAATATAATAAGTTTGCCTATAATAAAATTACAAATATTTTTATTTAATTAATATTTTTATTTAAGATAAAATACTAATAAATAAGTAAATATCATCAAAGAAATTATAAATAAAATTTTTATTTAAATAAAATATTTTTTAAAATTATAAATTCATTATATACAAATTATATATTTATATATTTATAAATATTTTATAACTTAATTACAATAATTTCTAATAATTTTCTAATAATCAAAATTCGTTAATTTATGGCTTTAATATATACAAAAATTAAAAATATTTAAAATTCAAAAAAAACTATCTTTTAATTTTTTTAACAGAATTAACAATTAATTACCTCTCTAAAATATAAAAAAAATCTCCAAAAAAAAAATATATCATAAAAATAATTAAAAATAAATTAAAAAAAACACAATAATAAAAAAATCAAAAACATTTAATGATTAAATAAACTTCAGATAATATTTAAGTTTTAGTAAGAATACGTGAATTAAATTTTAAAGAAAAACTTGAAGGAGCCGTATCATGTATCTAAACAGATAATGTATAAAAATTAAAAATCAATAAAAAACATAAAATCTATAATAAAAACAAAAAAGAATAATCTTTAATAAATATCAATTGATAATAAATAATATTAATATGACACTGTATGTAGTCCTTAATCTACATAATAAGATATTTTTGAAATAGTAGGAAGGCCAATGTCATTAACATGGTTTGAAGGTAACAAATATATAAATATATAAATATATAAATACATAAATATAAATATATAAATATATATATTTATATTTATAAATTTTTATTTATCATTTATTTTTTATATATATTACATATTTATATTTACTAAATATATAAAATTAATTATAGGTTATAATGCATGTATATTTGCATATGGTTAAACTGGAGCCGGGAAAACATATACAATGCTTGGTTAAAATTATTAGAATTTAAATATCGAGAATGAAAGTAGAGGTTTATAGCCTCGTGTATTTGAGTATATATTTAATATATTGGAATAGTTGAAAACATCCAATTTATAGAATGAATATATTATTACTTGTAATTATTTTGAAATATATAACGAATAAATTATAGATTTATTAGCTGATTAATAAAAAATTAATACAAATGCAAGACTTTAAATAAGAGAAGATATCTCAAAAGGTGTTTATGTCGATAATTTATCTGAAGAACAAGTAGAATAAACTGAATAAGCTATCAATTTATTAAATAAAGGTTTTTCGTTTTGTTTATTCTATATTTAAAAATAAATAAAATATATAAAAGGCGCACTTCAAAGACATGTAAGTGCTACAAAAATGAACGCTGATTCAAGCAGATCACATTCAGTTTTTACACTAAATTTTTCATAAAAAGTCTATAATTAAGAAGTTTTAAATATTAAGAATTCCAAATTACATTTCGTTGATTTAGCTGGCTCAGAAAGATAGAAATCAACAGGAGCAGTTGGTGAAAGATTAAAAGAAGCTTCAAATATAAATAAATCATTAACTGTTTTAGGTATATTTATATATATATATATATATATATATATATATATATATATATATATATATGTATTAATAAATTGAACAAAAAAAAAAGGATAAGTAATTAATGCTCTAGTAGAAAATTCTAATGGTAGAACAAGACATGTCCCTTATAGAGATAGTAAATTAACTTTTATTCTAAAAGATTCTTTAGGCGGAAATTCAAAAACTTTTATGATTGCTAATATAAGTGAAGCCAGTAGTTAATTTTAAGAAACTTTGTCAACTTTGAAATTCGCTTAGAGAGCTAAAATGATTAAAAATAAAGTTTGTTTTTTTTGTTTTATTTATGAAATAAAATTATTATTATTTTTATAAAGGCTTAAATAAATGAAGAAAGCTAGGGAAATATATAATAATTAAAAAAAGAAATAAATAGACTTTAATAAGAGTTATAAGTTTATAAAAATCTAAGAAATGATAATGTATAGGAATTAAACCTTAATAATAGTTAAATTATTTACGAAGAATAATTATTACTTTCGAATTCATTTTCCTAAGAAAATTTAAACTAAAATATTTAAGAAATTAAATAATTAATAGGTTTATTTTTGTTTTATTATTTTATTTTAATTTAAAAAAAAAAAAAAATAGTTAATGAAAATAATAAAATTGAAAAAAGTCAAACTTTATATTTTTAAGATATTGAAAATCTTAAATAAAAATTAAAAGAAGTTAATTTTGATATTGAAAATGAGTATTTTTAATTATTTTATTGTGTTTATAAAATTTTTATTAAAAAATAAAAAGAGATGTTTTCCTTTAGAAAGATGATTTATTTAATTTAAAGGAATAAATATAATCTGCTGTTCATACCTATATTTTATTTGAATAGTTTAAATTAAAAAGAAAAAAATAATTGATTTAGTTGATGAAACATTTTAAATAAATGCTTTAAATGAATAACTAATTGAAAAAAATAAAATAATTGAATAGTAATAAATAGAAATTAAAAAGTAAATTTAATTTTACTAAAATCATTTTTATAATTAAATTTAAATAAATAGAAAAGACCAATAAATAAAAGAAGAAAATATTTAAAATAATTATTATAAAGAGATTATTGAATCATAAGAATAAGAATTAAATTAATTAAAAGTAAAGATAAAAAAAATAAATTCAAAATTCAAAAAAAATAAAAAAAAGCAAATAAATCTCTAATAATAATAATAAGAAAATGAATTAAAATTAATTAAATAATAATGTTTATAACATAAAAATGATGAAAATAATCAATTTAATTATGAATTAGTATAATAAAACAAACAATTATATGAAAATATAAACGAATAAAAACATTAAATATAAAAATTAATAAAACTATATGACGATATAAGACTGAAATGGGAAAAAAATTAGAGCATTTATTAAAAAGTACATTAAGTATAAAAAAAAAATTAAAAACAAAAAAATTAAACAAAAATATTAAATATAAAAGTAAAAAACTGATTTGGAAAAACAAAGTAGTGAACTTTAAAATTAAGTGAATAAATTATAAGACGAAAATGAAAATCTTGTTTAAACTTTTAGTTAAATATAAACTATATACAATTCGAAATTATAAAACGAAAAAATATAAAACGAATAAAATGCATCTTTATAAAAAAATAATTTAATGTATGAATCAATTATAGAAAATGAAAGAAACAAATATATTTTATTAGAAAATAATTTACTTAAATACTAAGAAGTATTTCTAATTATTTTTTAATTTAATAAAATACATAAAAAAATAAAAAAAGGATTTAGAAACTGCATATTAAACTATAGATTATTAATAAGCTTAATTAGATGAAAAAAATTTATTAATATAATAATTATAATAGCTTTAATAAAAATATAAAAGCGAATTGGAAAAAATAAGAAAAAAACAAGAATAATAACTTCTTTTATTTCAAAACTAGAAATAAAATCCACCCATTAAGATTATTTCATTTTAAGAATTTTAAAAAGATAAAAATTCTACATAAAAAAATAAAGAAATGGAATTAGATGATAGTATTGAAATATTAGGATAATATCAAGTTAATTAAAAAAATGAAAAAATACTTGAAAATATTTACGATAATGAATAAAAAACTAATCAATAAACTATTATTATAGATGAAGAAAATACACATGATTAAAAAATTTAAAAGGTAAAAATATTAAATGAATAGTTAGAAAAAGAAATCATTAAACTTTAAGATTAAAACTAATAACTAGTAAATGAAAAAAGAGATATTTTAAATAAATTTTAAATTATTTAAAACGAAACATATATAAAACATTAAAAAATGGTTAATTAATATAAAGAATAAGAAGAAAGAATAAATGTAATTAAAATTATAAATATAAATAAATATGTATATTTATCTCTCTATATATATATAATTATATATATATGTATATATATATATATATATATATATATACATATATAATTTTTTTCATTTTTAATTTTTTAAATAAAGAATAAATATGAATAAATATTATAATAAAATGAAGAATTGAAAAAATTCCTTTTATTTAATTAATATAATGAGGTTAAGAATTTTAATTCCTAATAAGTGTAAAATAAAAAATAATTTCTAAAAAAAAAATATTATATTATTATTTTAATTTTTAATTAATTTCTATTTAATTAATTTAAAGTTTATAACAAGAAATTTAATAAATAAAAAATTAATAAAATACCTAGAACTAGAATACACAATGTTAATAATAAAATATTTAAGATTTATAAATATAATAATTATAATTAGAAAATAAGTGTTTAAAAGATAATATTTAATAAAAATAAATATAAAATAATTAATAATAAATAACTGTATAAAAAGTAAAAAAAAAAAATACAAATTTAAAAATACATAATATCTTTCTTAAATAAAAAAGTATTATTTTGATGAAGATTTTATAACCTTTATTAAATAATATGTGAAAGATAATTTCCATATAAGCATAAATAATAAATAAAAATATGTAAATTAATTAGATTAAATAAAAGATACAAAATAAATTCAGCATTTAATTACTGAAATTTTGAATAATGTAAAATATTAAAACATTTTTCAAGTATTTTTTATTATTTTTTCAAAGTAAAAAGAGAATTTACTGTAACAAGATATAGATAATTTAAATTTCTTTTAAAATAAAAAAAGAAAACTTAATAATTAAATAGATTCTAATAATAATAATAATAATAATAATAGTGCACTATAATAAAGAAATTTAAATATTATATAAATAAACTGATGATAATATATAATTAAATTAATATTTATAAAATTTTTTTAATCTAAAAAAATACAATTATCATTTAATTTATTTTATTTTTTCCAAATATATTTTTAAAAGAATACATTAAAATAAAATAAAAAGAATAGAATAAATATATATATAATTTATAATATATATAAAAATGAATTGTAATTTATATAAAATAAAATTTTTATAAAAAGTAAAATTAAATAATTATAAAGCATTTATTATATATATATATATATATAGCTTATTCTTATATATAATTCACTTTTTATAAACATTTTATTCTTATATTGAACCTAATTTTTCCCTTTTTTTTTAAAAAAAAATAAATAAATATAAAATATGAGAAAAATACATATATAATAACATTTTACCATAAATTTTCATTATCATCATATTCATCTAATTAAAAATGCTATATATTTTATTATCCTTAATTATCTTTTTAGTTTACAAAAAAGAGCTTGTCAACGCAAATTTTGAAAGCATCATCTAATATAATATTGTAAATAGAAAATATTTAATAAAATATTAATAGATACCAATCATTCTAGGCATCAGTTTTTTTAATATATTTGAACTTTCTTCTAAACAAGGATTAGTATTAACTTCAATCAACCACAAATGTAAATTCTCATCTATAATAAAATCAAATCCGAATATTTCAAAGCAGTATTTTCTATTTAATTAATTGATTTTTTTCTTTATACAATTAAAAACAATTAAAACAATTTATTTCATTTTCTATACAACTTATTAATCAAAGTCAATATTTTTAAACATATTTTAAAAATATTAAAAACTTAATTAATTTCCATTTTCATATTATCCATATTTTTCACTATTTTATTATATTGCATTATTTGTTAAATGAATGTATTAATTTTGAGGGTCATTTAAATTAAAAATTTCACTAGAAGTTCTTATATATCCTTCTCTTTTTATTTTATTTAAAATTATATTAGATATATAAATTTGTATATAAATATATAAATATATAAATATATATAGATATATATATATATATATATATATATATATATATATATAAATCTTAAAAAAGTAAACATTCATATCTTAAGAAATAAGGGCCCAAATTCTAAAATCAAATTTTCTTCCGTCAATTAAAAAAGGTTTTTCAATATATTTTTGAACAACAAATCTTTAAACTTTTAAATTTTAAATATTATTTTATTATTCCTTTTTCTATTAATTGATATTCTAAATATTTAAATCAACAAGAGAATTTTATTTATATATTTTTTATTTTTTATAAATAATTTATTCGTTATTTATAACAGATTAATTTCTTCTGAAACTAATTTATCTAACAGACTAAGGTTTATTATATAAATTTATTTAATTATTATCCTAAACTTAATTTTAGTTCCCATTAAAATAATAACTTATATGTTTAAGAAGTGTTTCTAAATTTTAAAATATATGAATACCCCTTCCCCTATTTAAAAAACTAGGTTTAAGAAGCCAAAGAAATTATGTTGAATTTTCTTTCATGAATTTTTTATTTATTTTAGTTTTAGAATTTTTTTGTGTATTTTTATTATTATTATAGAAAAATTGTATAAGTTATTTTTTTATTTCATTTTTATTTTTTTATTTGACAGGGTTATATTTCTCAAAACAATCTAAAAATTAATTTATTGAAATTTCACTTTTTTTTTCATCTAATATAAATGTTATTGGTGTAATTTCAAATACATTAAATTTTATTGGAGAAACCTTTTAATATTTAATTAAATTTCTAATCAAATTATCTTTCTCGGTTATTTCTTAATGGAATTCAAAATGATTCACTAATTATTTATAATTATTATTTGCTATTAATCTTGAATATTAATACCCTTAGTTGCTTTATTACCATTTGAAATTTACAAACATCGTTTAAGAATGGTTTGTTTCTATCCAATTTTTACGGGTTTACATTACTTTTCTTATTAATTAACAATTATTACCATCACCAAGATAATACTTTTTATTTATTTTTTATATATAAAAAAATAAAAATAATAATACTTTAAATATGCTAGGTTCGTATTATTATTCGGGTATTATAATTTTTTAATTGGTTATATTATATTAATTATTGATATTTTTAATTTAACTCTCATTTTTATCGGATAATAATTAATTATTACTTTGTATATCAAACTATTTTTTAATTTTAATAAATTTAAGTTAATTTTAATTGATAGATATTAATATATATATTAAATTTATTATTTTTTTACATTAAATATTTTGTAATTTTAATTAAAGTTTATTATAATATTATAATTATTAATTTATTATAAGAAATAAATAATTAAAAAAAAAAGTTTATTTTTATTTTTACATTTTAACAATTGTTTTACTAAAAAAAAGGAATTTTAGAAACATTATTAGTTATTTAATTAGTTTATAAAAATAAATAAGTTTATAATTTATTATCCTATATTAATTATGAAAAATCATTAAATTTAAAGTTATTTACTTAAATTTATTAATTTGAGCTTTTTTAGATCTTTAATTTATTTCTTTAACAACAGTTACGAACATTTTAAAAACTAAGTTATTTGATTATTATATCTTAAGGATATTAATTTTAAAGGCAATTATATCCTTAAACAATTTATTGTTTTTCATAGTTAAAATCAATATTAGATCTTATATTTAATAATTTAAATTGTTATTTATTTTAATAATTTTCAAAAGATTATACATGCTATTTATTCAAACTATAAAAATAATTTAATATGTATACTGTAATAATAAAAAATAATATACACTTATTTATTGTTATTATTCTTATACTAAGTTATTTAATTAATTAAGTGTTATACATTCATTTTTTGATTTTATTAAATTTAGAAATTAAATAAAAAATTAATGTTATAAATAATAATAATAGAAAATACATTTAATAAAATAATAAAATTTATTAAATACAAAAATTACAATAAATATAATATTTTTTAAATATATATTATATAATTAATATAACTTTTATAATAAAAATATGATTATCTTTTTAATTATAATAATAAATTAATAAAAATAATAATAATAAATAATATAAAAATAATAATAATAAATAATATAATAATAATAATAATAATAATAATAATAATAATAATAATAATAATAATTTTAATATTAAAATCAATTTTAATTCAATAAATTTTTAGCTTATTAAATTGCTAACTCAATTTAATTATCATTCCAAGGAATTTTACATTATTGATTGTTTAAAATATAATCTTTAACTGCTTTTATTAAAATTTTATTATAATTTTAGTTTTTATGCTCATTACTCTTTATTCTCACTTATAAAGAATCCTAAGTTTATTAAGAAAAATCTGATGTCTCTTCTTATATTTCAACACAATGATTAATTTTTATTTTTTCTATATTTTAATCTATAATTTTTTAGCATTATATTAAGAACTTCTTAATTTTTTTATCTCTTTCAGCCTTCATTTCTTACTTAATATTACTTAGACATTAAATAGATTTTTCTTTGAATTTATGAGATTACAAAATACAGTTAATATAAGATTAATTAAAGCTTTTATGTGAAGAAGTAACTTATTAATTTCCAATTAAAAGTTTTCTTTTTATATTATATATATATTTAATAAAAGTATTTTTAAATAAATTTAATTTAAAAATACTTTTAAGGATGATAAAAATTGGAAATTTTAATTCCTTTTTAAATAGAAGTTTCTTTAAAGTAAAAATCGTAAAAAGAAGTGTAATTTTTATCAGTTTTTTTAATTCTTTTTTTTAGTTTTAATTATTTTTCAAAAAATTATTTTTCTGTATTTTTAAGAATTCGTTTATAAATCACTTTCTAGTTTTCCTCAACTCTTTTCATGTTTTTTTATTTCTTATTATTTTATTATTATATATTATTTATTTCTTCTTTTATAAATATATTATCTTCTTTATTTTTTTAATATTCTCCTACTATTATTCTTTCTTCTATTATATTATTTTCTTTACCTTCCTCTTATTCTTCTTCTTCTTCTAAATTATTCATATTTCCTTAATCTGTCTATGTATCTTATTCTAAAATTTCCTAATTTTTTCCATATTATTTCTACTTAACACTAAAATAAATAGCTCTTTCACAATCATCTAATTAATCAAGTTCTTACCCTTCATTAATAATTTAATTTTCAAATAATTTAATTAAAAGATTCTTTAATCTAGGATTGCTTACTTAATGTTTATCGACTATTTCAGAAACTTATAAATTAAGGTTTTTTTCTTCTACTTCTGCTTATTAATCTTTTAATTAATTTATTTGTTTATTTTCTTAAAGTTTAATTTTATTTGATTACTCTTAATTATTTTATTATAAATTTAATAATGTATTTTCTTAATATAACTAATCTTATTATAGTTTTTAGATTTCTAACTTTTAGACATATTATTAAAGATCAGGATTATAAATTATTTATTTAACAAATTATATGACTTTTTATTAACTCATTATTTTTTTTATTATTTTTTTCTTCTTTATTTATTAATATAATATTATATTCTTTTATTTTTTTAAATTTATTTAATAATGTTCTTTTATTTTTGTATATTTGTTTTCTTTTTATACATATTGCTTTTAAAACTTAATTTTTAATATTTATTAATGAATTAATGTATATTTAAAAACGTAGAAAATATAAAAATGTCATTTTTTTTCATTGTTAAAGTATTTTTAAAATAAATTAGACGTATAATTTAAACAATGATAAAACATAAAATAATATTTTTGTAATTAATTAAAAAAAAATATATATGAAAAATTATTTATATTATGAAGATATAAATAAAATATATATAATTTATATATATATATATATAAAAATTAGAAAGAAAAAAAATTAATTATAATTTTTATTTAAAAAAAGTCTGTAAAAATATTAATAAATATATATTAAAATGTTAATACAAATATATAAATATATAAATATATAAATATATAAATATATAAATATATAAATATATACATATACATTTTGTTATATATTATTATATACATTTTATAAAGCTAAATACGTTTATAATCTATATCTAATAATTTTTTCTATTATAATTAATACATTTTTTTTTATTTTTACATATTCAATAGAATAAATATAAAATAATATAAAAAATTCATAATTCTTACTGAAAATATTTATTGTTTTTTTTTTTATTTTTTATTAAATCAATTTAATCTATTTATTCTGAATCACATTATTATAAATTATCATTATTAATTAAGGTTTATCTATGTTTAATTTATAATTTATATAATTATTCTTATAAAATAATATTAATTTTTTTAAGTATTTATAATTCCATATAATTTTCTATTTATTATTCATTATTTTGCTTTTCTTATAATATATTTTATCTTTTATTATAAAATAAACACAGATTTAATAAATTAAAAAAAAATTACTTATTTTATTATTAATAATTTTAATTTTATTATATTTTTTCATTAATACATAGCATTTATGATAATTTTTAATTAAATTAATTAATTTTCATTTAATTTATTTTTAATATTTATTAATATTATTTTTATTATATTTGTTATTTTAATTCTACAATATTGCTTTCATATTTATCTTTAACTTAAACTATTTCAATATTTTTTAATTAAACCTATTATTAATAATAGTCAATTTCTTTTTTTTATTTTATATTTATATTTAATAATTATCTATTATTTCTTATTGTTAATGAATTTAATTTTTATTTTTTTCAATTATATTTTTATTATTTTTAATGTCAATTTTACAATTTAAAATTTAATTTTAACTAATTTCAACTTATTTTTTTATATTTTAAAAATTATTTTTTTCTTATTCTACATTATGTGTTTATCCTTTATTTTAAAATTAATTATCTTCTATTTATTTTATTTTTTAAAACAAAATTTTTTTAGGACATCATTTTCTTCAATTAATTTATTAATTTCTTTCGTTTTTTTCTCTTTCTTATATATTTTTTATTATTAATTGTTAATATTTTCCATAGTTTACTTCTTCAATTAATTAATTATATTATTATCTAAATGATTTTAAGAATTATTTAAAAAAAATCTATTATTTTATTCATAATTATTATTATTTTATACTAATTTTAAAGATTCGTTAATACAATTATTATATTATATTTCTTCTTATTTATCATTCACTAAATTATTTACAATAATAATATTTTTGTTTTATTTTTATTTATTAACATTTTTTTAAGAAAAATGCTGATTTTTAATTTTATTTATTAATATATCGTTTATATTTTGTATAATATTTGACTTACATTAGTCGTTATTAATTATATATTATGATTTTTAAAAATATTAAGAATTATTTTAGTATTATTCTAATTATATTTAATGATTAATTTGTTAATGATTTTGGCTTTATTTTTTTTATTATTATATTCTTTTTATAAATAAATTATTATTTTTTTGTTATATATTAAGATTTTAATATTATGGATATTATAAATAAAGTATATTATTTTAGTTTGTTTATTTTTAATCAGATAATCTTTATGTCTAAAAAGTATTTAATGATTAACAATTTCTTTAATGTAATCTATTTGAATATAATATTTAAGTTAAATTTGGATTAAGGGTTTAACATTAAATTAATAAAGAAGAAGGGTTTATATTATAAAAACTTTAAGTAGATTATCTTTTCATTATTATATATAAAAATTTATTATAATATAATTAATTTATAACTATTAAATAATATTTATATGAAAATTATAATAAAAAATTTATAAATATTATTTAATATATATTTAATAATATTATAAAATTAATAGTAAATATTCAATTATTTTTTTATATATAATAAATATTAAAATAATATAATATTTTTATTTTTAATTTTTCAAAAAAAATAATTAATTAATCATAATTAATATAAACTATTTTTTATTTCATGAAGTCTTTTAAATTAATGTCTATCAGTATAAAAATCACCAAACTCCCTTTAAATTACATGCTATTAGCTTTTATCTAAAGTAGATACACTTTTAGTATAATTAAAAGGATCATTAATACTATAATTAGATTAATAATAATTCATTTAACTGTCTCTGTATAAATTATGATTAATATTTTCTTAATTAATATCACTTTATTTATAAAAAATAGGAATTTATTCAATTTAATGTTAATTATTTGTTTAAGGAATATTATTTTATGTATTTATTTATTAGCTTTATTATAAATCAAATTATTGAGATTCTTATTATTAAATTTATTACTAATTTAAATATAATTATTTTTCATATAATAGTTATTTTTCGTGTAATTATTATTATTGTTTTTCTATTAATTCTTTTTATTATTATTATATTTATTATTATTTATATAAAGAACCTAATTTTTATAAATATTTTTATATTTCTTAGTCCTTTTCTTATAAATTATCTTCTAATTAATGTATTTAAATTTATTAAATTCTAGTTTTTTATAAAACTTATTCATATTTTAAAGCTAACTATTAATATTCTTCATTTTTTCTAGACTTTAAAAAAAATATATATATATAAAAATATATATTAATATAAATATAAAAAAATACTTCAAATTATATATAATTATCATCTTACAATATATCGTTTTCTTATTTTAATTAAATAATATAATTTTGTTAATTTTCAACAGTTTAATTAATATTCTAAACTTAATTTAATTAATTATTAATTTTTTCCCATTTTTAATTTTTTAAACTTAATATTTCTTAATTTTTTTAATTTAATTCTATAACTAATAAATTATATTTTGCTTATATTTAATTTTCATTTGAATTTAATACATTAATTTATAACTCCATATTTTTTATAATCTGTTTAATTATGATAAATTTAAAAAAAAAGAAAAAAAATTATAAATGAATATATAAAATATATATAAATATATATATATATATATATATATATATATTTATATATATATTTATCTATATATATTTATAATTTTTTTATTTTTTTCTTAACTTTTTACATCTTATTTATTTTTTCT